ATAGGGATTCCAACGTTTCGTCATGATGGAAGACAATTTGGGAAGGGAACCAGAGGTGTTAAAGGTAGAAACATGAGTCGAGAAGAAGTTTTACAAGCACATTTGTACATCTTGAATAACATCGATGAAGTTCAACCTTTCTTATCTACTCACAAAGAAATGATCAAGCAAAGATATCCAAGGATGAATGAAAAATGGTTGTTGAATGAACACAATAAAAATTTCTTGAAGTGGTTTGAAGAACAGATCGTTACAATTGATGATGCATCTGAAACTTTGAAATGGTTAGCTCATGGCCCAAACTTTGATGTCATAACATGGAGTGGATATGATGTAAACGGTTATTCCTTTTATACTAAGCTTCAAGATGAAAAGAGTACAATGCAAAACAGTGGTGTGATGGTAGTTGCTTGAATCAATGCACTTTGCTACTTCAAAAGATAATTCTCCTGTAATGGCATCCCTTTCTTATTATGGAGTAATTCAAGATATTTGGGAGGTTGACTACACCAAATTTAGAATTGTTGTATTCAAGTGCAATTGGGTTGACGAGTAACAATGGTGTTTTGGTGGATGAATTAGGGTTTACATTGGTTAACTCTGAATAAGCTTGGCTATAAAGACGAACCTTTTATTATGGCAACTCAAGCAAAACAAGTCTTTTATATCTCCGATCCAGTTAATAGTAGTTGGTCAATAATGCTTCAAGGGAAACCCATGTCCGGTAGTGATGACCTTGAAGATTTACAACTTCAACAGTTTACCAGTCCATCTTCGACATCACACATTTTACCTTCTAATGATGACAATGAACAAGATGATGTATATGCCACCCGATTTGATCATGAAGAAGGAATATGGGAAAATTGTTAAACAATAGGTATATTATGGTTTTTACACTATTACTTACTTTGCATGTCTTTGTATTAGTTACTTTGCATTCTAACTCATTTATTTGTCTTATTTGGCGGGAATATGGCCGATTCTAGTAGGCCCGCGAAGAAGGGGAGACGTGCAACACGACTTAGTGAGTTGACACTAAGTCGAAATGCTGATGAGAGGTTACCGATTGAGTTTGATGACTCGACCGGAAATGCTATTGGGCCTCACGCAACAAAGTTTAGAAGTTATGTTGCACTTACGGGCCGCAGACAAAGTGAGCATAATAAAGAAGGATTGGGATGATGTGGAGATGCGTGTGAAGGAACAAATTTGGCAAAGCATCTTGGTATGAATTTTTTCTATTAAATTTACTTGTATTGTTAATTCTTGTAGGATTCACTAACCTTGTATTATTTTTTGTAGCTCACTTATAATGTTCCGAATACTGAAGGGCTAAGGAGGAAGTGGATATCATTCGTCGGTGAGCGTTGGAGGGCCTTCAAGACCCAATTGACTTCCACCTATGTGTTTGGAAGCAAGAAAGGAGTGTCTCCTTGTGAGCAATATTCCTTTCTAGACACTGAGACATGGGATAAGTTTGTTGAGAGCCGTATGGATCCTTCTTTTAAGGTTCGTGTGCTTTAAGCATATTGTGCTTGCCTGCTTTTAACTTGCCCATGTTTTTAACCGACCGTTTCTTTGAATGTATCTTTATTAGGAGAAACGACAAAAGGCAAAAACAATTCAACAAAAAAATGTATATCCTCACGAGTCTGTCCGAGGGGGTTACCAGCTACTTGAGAGGAAGGCGATAGAAGAGAAGCGTAAAGCTTCTCAAGAAGCCTCTCAAAGTGACCCCTCGGGTGTGACTTCACCTCCATCACCTCCTTCTCGTCATGAGAAGTGGAAGAAGGCACGACAGAGCAAGAAAGGTGACTATACTACGGATGAGAGTCGTGTTGTGGGACGAGAAAATTGTAAGTATTTATTTAAAAAATTGTTCATAATGAGATAGAATTATATATTGTGTCTTCTCTAATCAATTACATTTTCTTTGTAGGATGAATTATTAGAGCAAAGTTCACAAGGGACCTTTACCCCTAGTGGACGACAAGATATATTATCCACTTGCTATTGGACGACCGAGCATCCAGGTCGTGTGCGGGCAGCTGGATGGGGGATTGGCATCCGACAATATTTTGGCACTCCTAAATTTACCACAAAAAGTGTGGTCATTAGAGATGAGTTGCAGGCCATCAGGGATCAAATTAGGGAAGAGCTTCGGGCGGAGCTAAGGCAGGAACTTGTCTCCTTAGGCTTATCTCAGGGGAACACAGGAGGGGGTCAACAGTGTGTTCCCGTAGCTTCTCGCCCTGAGGAACGTGTTAGCACCAAAGGGAGTTGTGCACAGGTTGACGTTCTTGATGATGAGTCAACTCCACTTGGTGAAGACACTCCTAGGCCTCTATGCAAGTTCTTCACACAGGAAGGCTTACTAGTGGCTTATGGTACTGTGCATACATTGGGGCCACTTATACACGGGGTAGAAATGACGGATTCCTTTGTTCGTGTTGTGGTTGAACGGGTGCAAGTTTCTGAAGCTCCTGTTCCTGTTCCATCCGACGAGGTTAGAACAATGGGGGAGGCTCCCGGTCATTTCATTCAGTGGCCTAGAGCACTTATCCAGTTTCCTACCGATCGGGTATTATATGTTTTCTTTAATAATTTGATACATGTTTATAATTTTATTATTTTATCATAAATTTTAATTTAATTCCTTGATGTGTATAGGACATTTGTGCCCAGCAGAAAGGAAAGGAGAAGGGGAAGGAGAAAGTTCAAGAGGAACTGGACTCGAGATCCGATACAAAGGTTATGCCTCTTAGCTTATAGGCTAGGAAAGCATATACCTTTACAGATCCGAGATGGACCCTCATGTGATTGGGAATCCGCAGCCCATCACGTTGTACTTGAGTCAGAAGGACATTATGGATGTTGTTTTGAGTCAAGACATGATTTGCGTCACAATTCTCCAAGTCTGGTTAATGTAAGTCTTATGTTTTTATTTAAGTCAATTGGTTGTATGCCCTATTAGACACCAACTTGTCTAAAATGCAATTAACATGATATTTTCAATTTCTAGTTACCTCAACAAAGTTGTTGTGGAAAAGGGAGTAGAAGATGTCTATGGATTCATTGATCCTGTCCACATTCGGAGTTTGGGGAACAAACCAAATACTATTCAAGCATACATTCAAAAGAGATTTTGTGAAGGATCAAAGGAAGTTTATCTCGCACCATATCATTATGGGTAAGTTTTTTTAAATTACTTACTCTCAAACTTTGAATCTCTTAAGAATTGCTAATTGAGCGACATTTTTTGTAGGTCTCACTGGCAACTGCTTATCCTTTGTCCTAAACGTAATGAGGCTATTTTTTTATGCTCTTTATGGAATAAACCCAAAAAGGAAATTAAACAGATTATTGATGTGTAAGTATACTAACACCCTTATATATGAATCTGTCTTTGTGACTAAATACTCTAGGTCTGGTTCATGACAGATTTAATAACTGTAAAGATCTGTGCTTCACTCCTTTGAGCTAAATAGTATCCAGATTTTACTTTTTATATTCATAAGTAAGTACTTCATAATAATTGTGCTTCATTCCCAAATCCCGATCCAGACAACATTCAATTGTTTAAGATGATGTGTAAGTATACTAACACCCTTGTATAATATTTCATTCATTTCATTTTAAGTTCCACATGTCTTAATATGAAGTATTTTCCATTTAATCTTTTATAGGTGTATAGAAGCATGCTCAGTCATGGAGGGTAAGCCTAAAAAGAAACCCACATGGATACTTCCACGTGTAAGGACGTTATCTTTCAAATTCTTAACTTTAATTTACTCATTTTACTGTATTTAATGTTTTTTTTCTTATAGTGTAATAAGCAAAAAGGAAGTTGGGAGTGCGGATATTATGTGATGAGACATATGTTAACAATCATCACAGCAAATATCACAGATTCATGGAATTTGGTATGTGTTATGACTATATTTATGTCATTGACATATATTTGCCTACTTGTGCTTATCTGAAATGTTTTTTTTTGTTTGTAGATATTCGATGATGGTCATCCAATAAATGAAGCAGAGATTGATGACATTAGACGACTTTGGGCAGATTTTGTTATTAAGAACTATAGTCGTGATTGAATACTTAATTGTGAAACATTAGGACTATTTTCTTTGTATATATAAACTTAGAATACAATACATGTTCATTGTTTGTTGATACAATACAATGTAGATATATAATATACATTATGTTTACTTGTGTGTTGATGCATGTCCTTTATAGATTAACATTCGAGTAGTCTGTAAATATTTAAAATGTTGTACGAGGTTCTGAAAAATCAAAAACTAAAATTCGTATTTAAAAAAAATATATGACTTTCCACATCGGTTATGGCCTAGAACCGATGTAGAAAGTCATTTTTAATACTTTCCACATCGGTTCTAGGCCATAACCGATGTAGAAAGTCTGATTTTTCACATCGGTTATGGCTAGAACCGATGTGGAAAGTCAGACTTTCCACATCGGTTATGGCAAGACCCGATGTGGAAAGTCAGACTTTCTACATCGGTTCTTAACCGATGTTAAAACTCACCAACTTTCTACATTGGTTGTATCTACATCGGTTGTAGAACCGATGTAGAAAGCTGCTAAGAACCGATGTTAAAGGTGTTTTCTGTACTAGTGTGAGCCACCGCGCCACACCTCTGTTCTTAACCTCCTCCGCAGCCTCTGACACCCTCAACCAAGGTTTGGCTTGTTTGAATGTATATACTGTTATTCTCTTGCATTGTGAATAATATAGGAGAGATAATTTTGACAGAATTTCTTTATGGTTTGTTGTAGGTGGATTTGTGAAGTAGATAGGTTCTTCGAGATCCCTCTTACTGCGGATTTGGTGGTGCTTGACAGACCAATTTGGGAACTTGTTTTGTTTTGTTTAAAATATGAACACCATTGTTATGTTTAAAGTATGAAGGAATTTTAGCAAAGACCTTGTGCACACTGTTCTTTTGTTTCCCTCTTTTACCTAGCAGGGTGCAGGGCAGGCAGTGGCACTCAGAGTAACAGCAGATCGTTGTGCTTTCTATAATTGCAGGTTCCTTGGGTGGCAGGTGCTTCACTGTCTTCATATTTTTATTCTGAGTTTGATTTTAGAAAGTTATGTGTGCATGATGTATCCTTTATAGTGTGTGTTGCGTAAACATAATAAGATCTTCAATTAACAAGAGGCCATGATTGTTAGGCTAGATGGTTTTGTACACCATTATCCTTCGTTTCATTTGAGGAAAATCTGAGGTACCAAGGTGATAAATAAACTTATTTTGTGATTAGTACAGGACACACTGTACTTACATTATGGAAAGCAATACTTGAAAGATTGTTACATTGAAGGGAGTGTGGACTTCATTTTTGGTAATAATACTGCACTCTTGGAACATTGTCACATCCATTGCAAGTCCGCAGGGTTTATAACCGCACAGAGCGAAACTCTCCACGGGAAAAAGCTGGTTATGTATTCCCGAGGTGTGTGATCATGCCTAATACTTACAACATCATCTTCCCACATAATATTTTTTTTAGTCATTGTAACTTGTTTAACAAGGAAAGAGACATTTCCCAATCATCTTGTTTCCCCTACAATACAACGAGTGTTAGTGACTCTTACTTTGTTTTCCAATTCCAAGGCAAAATATGTTCTCTCTTAGTTCTTCCGATGTGAAATCAAGTAAGTACCTAGGTTGAAGTTTATCATCATGACTGAGTCATGTTTATGAAAACTGATTAAGATAATGAGAGAATGCTTGGTTTTGAAGATGATCTTGCTTTTAAGTTTTGCAGTTTGGTTTGTAAATGTTTAGAAGCATGGCTAACACGGATTTAGGAGTATTTAATTAGAAAAAAACATTCTAGGTTAAAACAAGAACCAGATTCTCTTGAAGCTAGGGAAATGATCCCTTGAAAATTCAATGAATTCAGGAATCCTGTAAGAAATCTTAGAATAAAAATCTTTGAATCTCATACTACTCTATGCTTCCTTGTCAATATTTTGCTCCTCTCCCTTTACAGTGTTTCTTTGGTGTGTTAATCTGTTAAACTTCCGAGTCCAAGAAAGGATACTACACAAGTAAAGTACTTTTATTATGTTGTGAACATTTTGGTTCCTTACATGATGTTTTGTTTGTGGTGTCATTGCAGATGTGTTGTCACAGGTAATGGGGGAACTTCATATGCATATCTGGGAAGACCATGGAGACCTTTTGCAAGAGTGGTTTTTGCATTCACTTTCATGGATCAATGTATAAAGCCTGCAGGGTGGAATAATTGGGGCAAAGTTGAGAATGAAAGAACTTCTTGCTTCTATGAATATAGGCAATCATTTCTAACTCCATTCTGTAGTATTGTTATCATCACCAAGGCCTTCTTATACTCATTAAATCAATGGATCTGACAGCAAAATTGTTGATAATTTCATAAAAACATCAAAGTGAAAGAGGGTCTAAAGTGTATAAAATTGTTGTTTATTGAGTTGAACAAGTTTGGAGTAATTTGATAAGAGTGCAGGTGTTCTGGACCGGGTTTCTGCCCATCCCAAAGAGTGAAATGGGCCAGAGAATTGAAGAATGAAGGAGCTGAGCAGTTTCTGAGTCACACCTTCATTGATCCAGAATCAGACAGATCTTGGCTTCCTCAAAGAATGACCTTCAATTATTAATTAGGATTATTATTATAATAGAATAATTAATAGATCTTGGCTTCCTTCATAAAATTCCTACTACAAGTCAATATGACACCGACAATATACCAGAGGACTAATTTTCAATTTTATGATATTAAGACTTTGAATCTTGAGTAGTTGTTAAGTTCTTAAGTTTCATTTGTGTTATGTTTGGATGAATTAAGCATGTACAAATTTTGTAAAATTGGATATACAAAATTTGACTTTAGTTCTTAAGTTTTCATTTGTGTTATGTTTGGATGAATTAAGCAGGTACAAATTTTGTCAAATTGGATATACAAAATTTTAAACGAAAATTTTCAGATTTGGTTAGATTAGCGACCGAATTTTTGGTCGCTACAAATTTATTATAATATACAATTCAAATTTAGCGACCGATTTAGCGACCGATTTATTATATTATTTTCGGTCGCTATTTTGGTCTTCAATGCATAAGTGACCAAATTATTTAGCGACCACTTTAGCGACCACCTCATCGGTCACTATTTAGCGACCAAAATGTAAATCGGTCGCTAACAAATTAGCGACTTGCCCTTTTGCGACCAACCATTTCGGTCGCTAACAGAATAGCGACCGATTTTTTCGGTCGCTAATAGCGTTTTTTCTTGTAGTGTTAATAAACTTCTAAAAAATATAATATAAAGAGAGGGGAGACTTCTAGATAAATAAAAGGGGTAAAGGGGTTGTAAATAAATAAAAATTATTAATTTAAAAAATCATACTTTCAACGTCGCCTGATACAACGTCAACCGTTATTAATTTAAAAAATCATACTTTCAACGTCGCCTAATACAACGTTAACCGACGTTGAAAGCTTTATTTGTAGTAGTGATTACTGGGTTTAAGATCTATTAGTATTTTTTATTAAGGGGGTGTGTTGTTGTAATCAATATACTAATAATAATAACGGCATTAAAACAGTTATTCTAGCCAGAGTTCTATATAAATATATAATACTTTCGTATCCGTGCAATTGCGGTCAATAAGAAAATTATATTCTTCTTTCTCTACTCTCAGTATTTGTATGCATTAGATACCTTTTTCTCACTCTCTGTCTGGTAATGCTAACAGATATATGAAAAAGTCATATATGTGTATACAACGTCTACTTTAAAAAGTTAAAATGTCTTTCAGAATACGACTGCATCATATAAAGTTGTTCTTTAATGCATGACTTAAACATAACCAAAAATTTTACAAAATTTATCCATTTTGGAATAATAAAAGCAAATTACACTAACATAGGAAATTAGCCTTAATAAGAAATAAAATATTTTTATTATTAATTTTGTTGAGAATTTTATTTCAATCATATATACGATAATATTATATTATATAAATATAGTATATAACTATTTCTCTAAAAATTATATATTAAGTGGAAGAAATAGGTAAAAAAAATTATATTTCATTTATGTTAAAGTAAAAAAATCATTGTTGTCATAATTATTGTTCTATAAATTTTAAAAATAACATTATGTTTTATTTATTTATGTAGTAGGTAAACAAACATGTGTAAATGTGATTATTATGTCATGTATTAGATGAGAGTTTTAATTTGTATGAATATTATTCGTTAATAGACAGAGATAATTTATTTTAATAATAATTAAATTTATTTGATTTTATAAATATTTTATTTTAACAATATTTAAATATTGTTTCAAGTATTTCAAGATTTATCATTGTCTAAATATGATATTTTACAAATAAGGAAGCAATGAATCAGGTTTTTTGTACAAAATCTATGATACTAATGAAATTTATAAATGTATGTAGTTAAACTTGTGTAATTTAAGGTAATTTTGATGTATTTAGTAGACATTTGAACCTTTTGTAAGTTAGTTTGATATATATTGATGTATTTTAGTAATTATATATATAAAATAGTTGTATTATGGATTGTTCGATCTCTATATATGAATATTTTTTTTATATAGATTTTGGTTGTTAAATAAAAACAAAACAACATATAAAAAAAAACCCAAAATTTACGTTGGTAGTACTTTAGTTGACGCAAATTTACATTAAAAACTATACCACCCGACGTAAATTTACATATGCTATGGGTAAAGCTGACATAAATTTATGTTAGATTAGGCGTTATTTAATATAAATTTTGGCATTTTTTTTCAAATTTTATTAGATCTTTTATGTATACTCCTCTGTATGTCTGACGTAAATTTATATTAGTTAAAATGATCGAATAAACTTATCATATTCCTAGTGAACCTTAGTCTGATGTAAAAAAATGAAAATAACGAAAGTAAAAAACTCTATTTACACAAGTGTATTAACTATACATAACTTTAGCAGTTAACTTTATATTCATTATAATAACATTAGAAATTAACTTTATATAATCAAACACCTTCAACTAAATACAACTCTTCGTCATAATCAAAACTTTGTCTATTTCTTATATACTTTAAAATTATTATAGTTGACGTGATTTCTTACTTTTATATTTTAATCTTAATTTGAAATTTTAGGGTTTAGGGTTTAGGGTTTAGGATTTATGGAGAGGTAATATTTGATAATTTTAGCATTCTTAAATAACATGTTTAATTATAATATATAATGTTTTTTTCACCCTTTTTATGCTTAAGATAGTCTTAAGTAATAAAATTTATTAAATAACTCTATATCATTGTAAGAATTTAACTTTTATGATATCTCTTCTCTAAAGTTATGATTTTGATTTATAGAATAATTTATGTAATTCAACACCAAAATATGAAATAGAAAAAGAATTAGGAAATGAAAGATGTCACCTAGTTAGAATATCAGTTTGTTGTCCAAACCTGAATCAATCAAGATTAAAGATGGTAAAATTTTATCCTTAGAATTCATATAAAAAAAAACAAATTTTATACTTAAGTTGTGAGACATTTCTATATTTACTTGACAGAACAACTGTCAAACAAGAATTAAAAGATTTAATGTAAAACTATAAATATATCTTTCTTAGTAGCTTATTTAAATTGTGGTATAATTGATTCTTAGATAACATGAATAATATATTTAATGTAAAACTCTTTCCTTTATATGACATCTTGTGATTGATATATATTGTTATAATATAGAACTAAACAAGTTGTGTCTACCCTAATTTTGTCATTAAATACATGACATAAAAATGGAGATTCTCTTATATAAATCTTGTTAAATATATATTAATTTAGTAATAACCCATGAAATAATTTCCCTAATTACTCAATTATAAATAAGATAGTATCACATTGAAACAAATATTATTTACTACCTAAAATATCTTGATAGAAATTATATCACTCTTTTCTTTAAATCTCATTCTCATTTAGATACCATTTTAATATCTCTGTTCTCATTTTTTTTTTTAATATCACAATGTCTTTGTACGTGAGTCTCCCTCTTTTTTTTTAGTATTTATTAGAGTTTAGCTCAATAGATTCTAAAGTGGTAATAGTTCATACTTATATATTGGAGCTCATTAATTGACATTATCAAACTTATTTATTATTATAATTTTTTAATAAGAATATTCGACACCTAAGTAAACCTTCTTTTGCCCACATAAATCAGTAGCATTGATTTTTTAAATCGTCTTATCAATTTTTTTTAAATTAAGAATAATAGTTCTTATCAGAGAATCAATATATATTCAATTTATATTTTTTAAGTTAATATTAAAATAATGATTATTTATATCTTAAATTCTTTCAAACCTTTAAATAGAAGATATAAAATTTGATTCATCTCCAAGGAAATTAGTTTTCTCTATTATTTAATCTTAAAGAAATTTTTAATACTCTTTTAAAAGTATATTATGATAATAGAAATGAGATACAAATGTCAAAATTAAAAAAAAATGTCTTCTTACCAAATAAAGCGAAAATGAATATGTGCTAGTTGTAATTATTATTATGAATCTTGGTAAGATTTTTAATATATTTTTTTATGAATTATTGACAGAAGAAACAAATTTTATGATATTTGATCTTAGAAAAATATGTCAAATTAAACTATCTACACAAATGGAACGAAACCCAAATGATTGGTTGTTTCTTATTGGTACTTCAAATAGATATTTTGTCTTTGTTGTTTATTCTTTAAATTGTAATATTTTATCTGTTTATCAAATAAAATTGTTTTATTCTATATGGTAAATTTTTGGTAAAACTCTTATATTTTTAAAGACATTCATACAAAAGAATTATATTATTACATAGATTTGATGTAAAAAAAAAAACATGATGGGTCACACCAAATTTTAATATGCATTTAGTGCCAATATTTTTTAGTTTATTTAGAAAACATGGTGAAAGAATTTTTGTCTAATTCCACTTACAAATTTTGTGATAAAAAAAAAAGATGTATTAAATATTATCTAACATTTCAAATGATTATGTTGCATCATAATGTGTTATCATATATAACATTATATAATGAACATTTTTTTTAATAATAGTAAATTATCTTCGTTAAGAGAATTTATATTTTCACACACAATAATATAACTACCATACATCATAATTAGATCTTCTTAACTTTCCCTTAGTATCTTTATATATTTATATTATATAATTGACATATAAATTATAAATTTAAAATTACAATTAACATTATGAGATGAATGAAAATAAAATAATCTATTTTTCCTCTCTATCGTTAATTCTTTATTATTATTTTTTCATTAGATAATATTAAATTTATAAGTTGCATTAATTTTATTTTATATAAAAAATATATTTATTAAAAAAATCATTTACAATACTACACAATATTAATGATTATATTATTAAAATATTCAATATTTGATTTCTAATTTTTTTACATAATTATGAATTTTATAAAATTTCGCACATTAAAAAAAATTCTTAAAAAAAATGTCTTCTTAAATGAAGAATTATTCACTATATTTTTTTTGGTGTACAAGAACTTAAGTAATTCTATGTCTTAAAAGGGAGTTTGTAATATTTTTATTGTAAACATTT